GGAGTGAGGTCGGTAAGCAGCAGCGGCTGCTGGTTTTGTTAAGGGAAAAGGGTGGTCGTCGCTGGATGCTTAGAGAGGGTGAAGTTGGCGGCGGGAATGGCGGAGATGAAGATCTAAGGCTGCCTTTTTTGTGTATACTAGGTTCTAAGTTCTTGGAGAATAGGGTCAGGGGTGGGGGCGCCGATTGCTTCTAGACCCTTGTCCAAGTGAAAGAGATCCATGAAATGGGAGGATATCTTAGGTATTAGGGTTAGGCTAATAGGTCAATTGGGCCAAACATATTGGGCTTGGTGAATTGAGTTATAAATTTGACTTTTAATTTCATAATTCTGGCAATTTGACTAAAAATATTATTTTTTTTCTAAGATAATACAATAAAAATGTAAAATTAATCCTAATTAACTACAACAACTATATTATGACATGAAACTATTTTTGATATTTTCAAGGATTATGCTAAAAATGAAAATGGATTAACAATAATATTTTTCTAATAATATCTAATACCTTAATTAAATAGAGAAAAATGAAACTATTTTTGTATTTTTCAATTTTGTGATAAGCATAAAGTAAAAGAGTTAAAACTAGTTAAAATAACGATATAAGACCTAAACTAAATATTTAAACGCTAAAAGATAAAATATCGGGGAGGATAAAAAATTACATGTCTACAAGTAGTGACATCTAATAAACTTATGACTGAATTAATGAACTTTATACATGACATGTTGCATAAAAAACCTCAATCTATATTAGAAATGGCGGAAAACAAAAAGAAGACATTCTCTGTGATGTCTCTATTATTTGTTTTCTATAGTATTTGGCATTCAATGTCAAAATTGTCAAAGTATGTTTTGAGTATTCCTGAGATGATTTTTCTTCTTTCTCTTATTTTTCCGGACCTGCCTAGGGTAGAAAATTATTTTACAGTTTCATTTTGATGAATTTTGTGAATAGGTAAGAGGGAGCAAAATGAGAACAAGAGGAAAAGAATCATAAAAGAAGTAATGTGAGAAAAAAAGGAAGAAGAAAAGGGAAGTAATGCGACTTTTATGATATACACATTTGACTGGTCACAGAGTTTAAGAAAAGAGAGAAGACTTTTGAACTTGTGGTGTAAAATGAAGCACATATATTTTGTGTGGCTATAAGTCATTGCATAAAGGTAAATTGTTTCCAAATAAGGAAAGAGGTCATTCTTTTTGGCACAGACCCAAAAGAAAATAGGTTCACATAAATTGAAACGGAGGAAGTAGTAGCTTATTTTGGGGATGGGGAATGGGGAATATGACAGGTTATGAATAAAGTGGAAAAGACAAATTAACAAGAAAAGAAATTTTTTAAAACAGATAAAGAATAGGGAAAAGGTCTTCTATTTTGTTTTCCTTTTGTTATTAGTTTTTTTTCCCTTTACATTTCATGTTTCTTTTATTTAAATAGAAGAGCTTTACAAAGAAAAAAGAAACAGTTTTACTACTATTTAATGACAATTACCTGTATTCATGCTTCTAATATATAACCCCCCTCCTCCCCACACACACTCACACACACTATATATATATTAATTAGAAAAATACTAAGTTGTGATTACACCAATATGTATTATATTTTGTATGCATATATATAAAGAATTTTTTCTCTTCCCATTTACTAAAATTTGTAATAAATAACTTTTAAATTAGTGAATTTTGTGTAATCGCGCGAAGCGCGAAAAGTTTTCCTAGTTATGTCTTATAATTAGACAATAGACATCGCCGACTATTTTTTCCTCTTCCAATCCTGGAAGAACTCAATCATCTACCCCCACTTTGCCAACAATTATGACTATTCCTTGTGATTCATCTTGCAAGGTTTATTTTTCGGACTATATGTAAAATATTATTTATTTTTTGTGGATTATAATTCAAATATTTTACAATGTCATTGATTTATTTTGGTGATTTCGGGTATATTAAGTTTTTCAAGGGTGATATTTTGACCAAATTTTGCTTCTTTGCTGGTACGTCAAATATAGAATACTTCGGAAAAATATTCTCTGCAGAATTATATGTAGCATGAATCTATCAGTAAATTTTGGGTTGTTTAATTAGGATGTTTACCTTCAAACACTGTGATTCCAAAAGGTAATTGTCCTATAACTTGATGCTTTTTTGCAAGCTCTTAATGATAGTGCTTGTACACTTATTAATTAGTACTCATATTTTTGGAAAAATTTGCCTCTGTTAAAATATTTTTAATTAGTTGGTAAAATTTCCTTTACATTTTTTTCTGCACTTCGGCAATGAGTTTGATTTTTAAACTTCCACTTATTTGAATTCACCCATTGATCTTAATCGATACAAATTTTAGAATTACATATAAGCCAACATATTTTTCCTATTGGTTCGAACTTCTACACAAAAACATACAAAAATCAACAAACTAAATTACACTATGGATCGGAATATCCAAAGGACTTCACATATAGGGTAGGATTTCTTCCTCTCTTGACTTAGCTAGAATGAACAACTTATCATTTTCAGGAATTTATATTTGATTGTTTTATAACTAATATCTATGTCATTTACAATTTTGTATTCACTGATAAGGGGTACACATGCAACACGCGTAATCGAAGACTAGTATCAATAAAAGAACCACAAAGAGATTTATAGTATAGTGGTATCGATACAAGTCTTCTACACTAGAATTGGGTACGCTTCTTATATTTCCTACTTCCTCAATGTAATCAGTTACCATTTTTTTTGTACATATAGAGTTCATTAAGTAATGGCTAAACAATATAATATATCAAAAAAGAATCAAATATAAATTAGTTTGGATTAATTAAATTATTTTAATTTGATTTAAAACTCAAGAAAATAACATTTAATATTAGTAATAAGTTTTTTTTTTTTTTGGAATCCCAGGAAGACCTGCAGTCGCTACAGCCTCTGCCCTTCGAGTTAGCACTCTGAGTAAATCCTCCACTGTGTAATAGCCAGCAAACTACACAGGAAATGTAAACCGCATTAGGCAAGTCTTGTGCAACAGGCTCGACCCAAAAAGGCATTGAGGGGTTCGATCCCAGATCAACTGTATGGATGACTGCCCTCCAAACCAACCAAGCCATCCCGAATGGGACTAGTAATAACATTGCACTTTTCACAAGTTAGCTTGGGCCAATTCAAGAAGTATTATTTGGTAAGAAAAAACATAAAACATCTTAACATTGTCGATCTTCATTTTGTGATTAATGCCAAAATGTCAATTTTGCCTTTTTTTTTTTCCTTTTTGCTAATTTTGATTAATTACTTTAAGTTATATGTCAATATTAAATCCTAAAATATGAATAATTAGCTCTAATTTGTTAATTTCCTTGTACACACAAAAAAAATAAAGAAATTAGGAGAGTAAAGGAAACTAAAAGGAAGCTAAGCTCTAAAATTTTCCATTCTTCATGTCATTATTTTCGTCAAAAATGGAAAAAAAGATACTTGCCCTTTTCCAAATCTAACATGGATTATGTAGATTCCCGTTTCACTCCCAACTGCAAAGGAAAAGTTTTCCATATTTTCAATGGCGGCTCTATAAAATTAATGGCCTAAAGCGAAATTTAATAAGAGACCGTATACTTTTTTATTAGTACATATACACACATATGCAGAAAAAAGATAGTGTTGCCATTTTTTCATACTTGTTATTTATATTATAACATGCTTAAATGATAAGACATTTAACTTCACATGGTAGTATTGTCATTTATATTAGTAAGAGGTAATTTAAATAAATTGGATGTAAGACATGTTTTTTCAATATGTACCTTTGATATTATTGTAAAAAATATAGTTACTAATATGAAGATCTAATTAATTTAATTCAAAGTTCTAAAATATTTTTAGTATCAAAGAGTAGATAGTCTTTCTTTCTTGCAAACTTTAATATTGTCTAACTTGAAATAAAATCATAAAATCCATTATTAAAAAATTTTGGGGACCTAAATTAAAGCTTTACTAGTCTCCTAATCGAGCCACATGTCCACCCCTCTGCTATTCTCAATCAAATTTTATAGAGTCTCAAATAAGATAAGACAACAATCAGTGGATGTGTTATTTGGTTACCAAATGTGAATGAAGCTAGTTGAATAACACGTTCATTTGCAGTGGTCTATAAATAATTGTTGATCATTAATGAGGGCGATTCAACGGAACTGGTGGCTTAAAACTAAAATATATTAAAAGATCCTGAAATTTCTTTCATAAAATCCATATAATATTGAGACAAAAAAAGTGGTGAGAGAACAACATATAATATGGGGGTTAGGCGTAAGTCATATGGTATTGAACTCCCTATAAAAATACATATAGCATTAAATGATTTGGTAAAAGGATTGAACATATTATCGATCGTGTTTTGAACCTTATGATACTTGTCTCTGGATTTCTTAATTAAAAAAATTAGATATAAAAGAACTTGCTTACTGATATGTGGATCAATCAAATGTGACAAAAAGGAATAGCTAATTTAGAGAATTTGATTTAAAACTAGAAAGTAAAAAATATGAAAAAAGAAAGAAAGAAAAATAGAATTGATGAGAAGATAAATATACTATTATTTAATTTAGTGAGAGAAAAGTTTTATCCTCTTTAACTCATTCAATCCTACCAAATAAGTAAATATTAGAATTTAAAATATTTTATCAATAATTATACAAATATAAATTATAAATATTATATAATAATATAATATAGTAGTACTTTATATTTTTGGGGCTTTAAATATTTGGGGCATAAGGCAAGAGATTCACTTGCCCTACCCTAGAGCCACCCTTGCATATTTTATAGTAGTAATTCTTTTCCCCTTACTACTTCCTACTTCAACGAGGAAACTGAAAGCCTCAAACTCTATAAAAACACACCAAAGCCATTCAATTCTCATGCATTGAAAATCATTCAAAGCTCTCTCATATTCTTTCTCATTAATCTCAACAAAACACTCCTTTTCTATTTTTCATCTTCACAATGTCTTCCAAAAAGCTCTTGGTCTTAAAGACAAGCGACGGCGAGGAATTCGAACTCGACAAGACAGTGGCCATGAGGTCAGAAGCCATTACAAATGAAGAAATTTAGAATAAGGATGATTTAGAAGTTGAGAATGCTTCTGCTTACCTTCACACTTAGAGTTACATGATGTATATATACATCTTGACAAGAGTTCCTTCTAGCTAATATTTAGCTATTGTATCTCTATCTACCAGTGATTATGTTAATCACAACTACATGTATATGCTGTCTTATATCTCTTAGAAGTTATCCTTCCACAATATAAGGCTAGTAGGATAGTTATATACAAACACTACATAATATATGACGGCTAGGAATAGAGTTTAAAGGAGTCCTAGGTTATACCCAATACCAAATTATACGGTTGTCTCACAAAAAACATGGTGGAAGATGACTGCGCTTCAAACACCATTCCTCTGCCTAAAGTCGACAGCAAAACAATGACCAAAGTGATTGAATACTGGAAAAGACACTCCGAGGAAGGCGACGAGTTGAAGGATTTTGACAAGAATTATGTGAAGGTGCTGAATTACACGGAGTTGTATGATCTAATTTTAGCTGCTAATTATCTTAATGATAAGGAGCTATTGGATATATTGTGTCAAGAAACTGCTGATAGGATGAAAGGGAAGACGCCAGAGGAAATACGTAAAGCATTTAATATCAAGAATGATTTTACCCCTGAAGAAGAGGAGCAAATCCGTCAAGAGAATGCTTGGGCCTACGCTTGATTTTATATCAGTGTTTACTATTTATTTTGTTTAGAAGTAAAACTGTCTAAGCTATTTTTATTTTTTTGAGTTCGATGTTCTTGATATTTTGTTATTAGAATTTGGTTTTGATTGATTTAACAATTTTTAATGATTAAATTTATATCTAGTAATTAAGTACCTTATTTTGTCATTGTAGCTTATGCGTTTTTGATGATTTTTTTTATTTTTTTTAGTTTATTTTGTTCTAGCAAATGCTATGAATAGCCAAAGAGAATCGACGGTACCTATCTGCTTCGGCTTCTACGTTGTTTGTTCTTCCTTATTTGTATATACACTACGGTATGTGTATTACTATGCATTATTACAAAATCAAATAAGATAAAATAATTAATGAACTATATCTATCATATTTTTTATGATAATAATAAATCTTTTTGCTATCTAATGAATGCAATAATCTTGTAATGTAGTATAAGTTTAAGATAAAAGAAGATACACTAATTTTGAAATTATTTACGGCAGAAACTTTTTATAACGAAGCAAATATGGTTCAGTTCCTACATGAGATTTTTGGAAAAAAGCATTCATTGAATTCCTAACATAAATAAATCAGGACAACTTGCACTATGCTAAGACTTGAATCGTTGTAACAAAAGTTTCTTAGCTCAATAATGACCAAAAAAAGACTTAAATCGTCGTTATTACATTACGCGGGGTGCTTTTTTGATGCACAAAGAAGTTTTACTCATGAATTTCAATTGGGAGAAAGCTGTGAACTTTCTAGTTTAAGGATTAAATTAATTATCTCACTAAAAAAAATTGAAACCCGAACCGAATCATAATATACGCCACATAAAGAAATTTTACTCGTGGATTTCATAGGGAGAAGACTGTGACCTTTTTGTGCTCTTCAATTTAAGGATTAAATTGGTCATCTCAGCAAAGGGACTTAATATACGAATCGAAAATAATGTATACGTCAGTCAAATAAATATTACAGAGTGTTATGTGTTTTTGTCTTGGAATCATGAACAGAGGTGAGAAGCCGGCAGCAAATTAAAGGTAAAATAGTTCTCTCTCCCATCCATAATTAGTGACTTTTTGACCTTTTTATTTTAGTTTAAAATGAATAATTTTTTTTTATATAACTAAGGAATTAACTTTGTTTTTTTTCAAAATTTATTCTTATTTACATATCCCAATGTATTAAAGTTAATAATATACAAAATTTTAATTATGAGTAATTTAATTAAAATGCCTATTTTTTCTTGGAGCTGGTATTCTCTTAGAGGGTGTGCCAGAGATCAAAATGTCACTTATTATGGACAGAAGAGAGTAGTAATTGAAAGAAAAACATCATATCCAAATTTAAATTTTGTGAATTAAATAGATTTAACTAAATTACGTAAATCTGTAAAACATAACACTCCTGTAAATATTAGTAATAATATGATGTTGCACTTTTAAAATATCATAAAATGGAACCAGAATCGTATGAATTGGGATAGATTTGTGCTAATTAAATTACTAGGAATAAACAAACAATGTTTTTTTTGCTTCAATCTCATTTTTTGGCGGTTTTAACTCTAAAAGTATTTATTTGTTTTTTTAAAATCTACGAAGTACATCTAAACTGTATTTTAAAAATGTTTATAAAAGAAAAACACTCCCCTTTCCTTATTTGATATGGTTTATGTAAGAATACTTTTCCTAATCTGACATGATTTATGCAAATTTATTTTGTAGCTGCTTGTCTACTTTTCATATTTATTTATTTTTTCGCCGTTTTGACTTCCTACTTCAACTAGGATACTAAAAACTCTAGTACTCTATAAAAACAAACCAAAGCCCTTCAATTCCTCATGCATTGAAATCATTCAAAGCTCTCACAAGAAAACAAATACCCCACATTCAGATTTTTCACCTTCACAATGTCTTCCAAAAAGCTCTTAGTCTTAAAGACAAGCGACGGCGAGGAATTCGAACTCGACGAGGCAGTGGCGGTGAGGTCGGAAGCCATCAAAAACATGGTGGAAGATGATTGTGCTTCAAATACCATCCCCCTACCTAATGTCGACAGCAAAACAATGGCCAAAGTGGTCGAATACTGGAAAAAACACTCCGAGAAGGGCGTCTCCGGGGACGAGTTGAAGGATTTTGACAAGAATTATGTGAAGGTGCTGAATTACACGGAGTTGTATCNACGAGTTGAAGGATTTTGACAAGAATTTTGTGAAGGTGCTGAATTACTCAGAGTTGTATGATCTAATTTTAGCTGCTAATTATCTTAATGATAAGGAGCTATTGGATATATTGTGTCAAGAAACTGCTGATAGGATTAAAGGGAAAACGCCCGAGGAAATACGTAAAGCATTTAATATCAAGAATGATTTTACCCCTGAAGAAGAGGAGCAAATCCGTCAAGAGAATGCTTGGGCCTTCGCTTGATTTTATAACAGTGTTTACTATTTATTTTGTTTAGAAGTAAAACTGTCTAGGTATCTCCTATTTTTTGTGTTCTTTTTTCTTTTTTGAGTTCGATGTTCTTAATATTTTGTTATATTAGAATTTGTTTGGTTTTGAAATATATATATATATATTACATTAAAATCCCTTAATTTATGCCAGAATCTCCATCTTCTCTCTTCCCACCATTGCCGACAACTTTATATTATTAAAAAATCGTCAATTGTATAGTTATTTTGCTGGGAGACTGGACAACACTGAAAATGAAGAAATATTCAGGAATTGTATGATAACTGTATCATAATTGTATTTGAATTATATCAGATACATCAATACCTAAACCATAATTGTATCATACTTGTATCATACTTGTATCACAATTGTATCTACCTTGTATCTGATACATTAATATCCAAAATAATACTTGATACAATATTAATATATTAATATACAATTATCATATATTTGTGATACAAATTATAAAATTTGTCACGAACTCACAATTGCTCCTAACAATATACAATTATCATACATTAATACAATTCCCGCAACAATTATGATACATTCGCGATACATTCTGAATAATTGTGATACAATTATGATCTTCATCTTCTTTAATTTTCAATCACAACTCTACACTAAAAATATAATATAATCGTATCATAATTGTATCAATATTATATCGAATATTGTTTTGGGTATTGATATATCATATACAAGTCACATACAATAAAGATTTTAGAAAGAAGGAAAACAAGATTTAAAACTTATCCACAACTTAATTCTATATCAATATTCCGAATTTCATATGTATTGTATCAATAAAAAATAGATATTNAAAATACAACAGAGATTTTGAGTGATTATTAAGAAAGAGAGAAAAAAGAAACAGAATCTTAAATGTATAGGGGTTATTGGAAATGAGGGGGTGGGTGTCGTGTAACTGACATGCTAAAATTAAGGGATCTTAAATTGTTGTTATTTTTTATGGTTTTGTATATAACTTATAAATATAGTTATACAAAGTAATTAATAAAGAACCTAAATAAAGGTGATAAATAGGTTTCGATTATAGTATAGCTAGATAAAAATCCCTACTTTATTTTCATCTTAGACCAGTTTTACAGAAAGGTAAACACTTTTTCTAGTGTTGTAAATATATATTTTTTTCACTATTGCATTGTCAAAAAGTACTTTGCAACTCAGCTTCATCCTAAGTTTATAACTAATCGTCATATTCTTCAAAAGGTTAACGTTAGCTGCTCCTTTGTACCCATTTTTCAAACTTCATGAAACTTACTTTTTGTTTTAATAATTGTAGTATATGTCATGAGAAGCATAAATAGAAACCGAGAGATAATAATCTATTTTAACTGGGTGGGTAGAGGGCAGTTATCGTTGGAAATTTTTTCTTTACGTTTTGTAAAAGAGGAGCAATCATAACTTCAAAGAAATTAAATTACATGATCAAAAAATTAATTTAAGTAGAGTTTTCAGAAAACCATAGTCAATACGTCTAATTCTTGGTATAAATTCGACCACGACTTCACAAGATTTTCCCAATTCTAAATACTTAATTTAAGAACTAGATAAAATATACTGGAGATGTCAATTTTTGACTGAAAAACCAATGCATATTGTGTATCAATGGAATGATGAAGCGTGTAGTTTAGTTAAGATTCTTGTGGTTATTTTGGAATTAAATATATTTCACCTACCCAATTCATTTGAACCCCATTTCTTCATCAAATTAGGGCAATTCCCATTTTTCTTCCTCCTCAAAATTGATTCCTCCTTCCAGGTTGTAATTATTTTGTTTTATTCCTCTTCTAAACTTGCTTTTGCTTATAAAAGCTATTATTTTTTGGAAAACACAAGCCCGCCATGTCTGAGAATTCAATTGCTTCTGATTCGTCTCGTCAATGTGATTGCGGGTTGATTGCTAATCATTGGACGTAGATTCTACTAATGTCCTCGTTTTGATGAAGAATCGTCATGTGGTCTTTGGGAATGACGCGACCAAAATATGCCACCACATGTGATAATGGTGATAAGCAACTTGAATAACCCATTGAAATGTGTAGAAGTAGAAAGGAGTTATTTGAAGAAGATGGTGGCTGACTTAGAGGATGTTGTTTGTCAAGAAAAGGTGAAACTGAAGAACATTGTGGCAGAAAGGGAGGTCATTAACTCAACCAATTTAGTGGCTGTGTCTACGATGGAGGATAAATTACGAAGGATGAAGATTTTTGTTGTTATTTTGTGGGTTGTCTTTATTCCAATTTTAGTGGCTAGGAGTTAGTGATGTTTTTTTTTGTTGTCAAGAGCAATGTAATGGTCCCTTTGGTTCTTTGATGATCATGTTTGTTTCAGTTTCATGTGTTTTCAATGAATTTAAGTTATTTTGTTCAAGTTAAAATGTACTTGAAATGTTCTTACAAGGAAACTGCTCATCTATTAATAGTATCATTTATCCTAACAAGAGAAATGGCAATAAAGTTGGCACAAAAGAACGCTCGAATATGGAGTTTAATAAAAGATGCAAACATACA